ATCCAGCCTGCGGGCCGCATTTTTCCCACCCCTGTTGTAACCTATATATTCTGTACCAGAGGTGTTCAACCTCTGGCACATGGGCCTGCAGCACCATGTCATTTAGCCTATAGGAATCTCCACAGATTTGGAAATTTAGCCGCAGGGAAGTGGTGTTATGGTTCCCTTGCTGCCAAATCTCTAGATCCATAGGCAGCCCCAAGTGCTGCGCACTGAATCTAGCACCCAGTCCCAGCACATCTATCTCCTACATAAGAAGAGATGTATATAACCATTTACTTACTGAAAATGAGTATCTAACTTTTGATGCTTCCTGCATATCTGGTGTGTCACATCAGACTGATATTCTTTTGTTTTGGGGGAGAAATAGTTCTTTCCAAAGCTTAAGTAATGAAAGATAAATTAAGCACCAGTGCATATCAGATTAGAAAAGCTTGGCCATGCAAACTGCTTTCCTGTTGCACATATTTGTGTAATTAGTGGGGATTTTGAAGGCAGTTAAGCAAATGGAATTTACTTCTTGAACAGTACACTTTTTTTAATGTTGCATGTTGAGTGACGAGAAGAGTAAATCTAGGAATTATTTTCTTGCCATGTGTCACTCAAAAATAGCAGCTTAGTCTCTTCTATGACTTTCCAGTACTTGTACCAGTGAGTGGGGATTATTACTGCTATTATTGTTCTTTTCTTCTGCCCTGCAAAAAGGTGGAAGGAGGAAGCAAAATGATAATCCCACATTATCAGACTGGTTGTTTAAAATTATTTGAATTCCTTTTTAAAAAACACTAGTCACATATTGTTGTGAAGAATCCTATTTTACATTATATGTGCTTCAGTGTAAACTGTTTGCATGCTTTACTTCGGGGCGGGCAAGGATTTGGGCTGGACGGCCACTTAAGGAGTTTTGGTGAGCTGTGGAGGGCTGGGGCGGGGGTTGGAATTGATCCTATTCAGCCTACCAGCCGCTGCTACAAACCTGAGAAGAGAGGGCTACAGCCCCACACCACTCTGCTCTGTCCTGGTTGGGGCCAGGCCGGGCTGCACAGGGAGCACACTTCTCCACCCCACTCTCCACCGTTCATTATGCCCCATCCATTTCGTATCTCTGCCCCTGCCCAACTTCCTGTTGGCGATGTACAGTTCTGTCACTGGTAACTGGGCCCGCGCTGGATGGGGTGTGATGCAGAGCATTGAGTAGCTGTTCCACCTGCCCGTCTGCTGCAGTGAGCCACTGCCACACCACACCAGGAAAGTCAGGGGCAGCTGGCCCAGGCCAGGCCACCCCTGTGGCTGGCACAGACTAATGTCACCACAGTGGCAATGGCTTTTCATGGCAGGCAGGCAGAAAAGCTACTCAGTGTGCTGCATTGTGCCTCATCCTGTATTCGGTGCCAGGACTGCACAGCTGCAGTGCCAACCAGAAGCCAGGGGAGGGCGGGATAGATGTGGAGGTGGCGGAGGAGTCTACATGCTTCCTGGCCCTGGCTGCAGTGGAGCGGTGTGGGGCACAGCCCTCCCTCCTGAGGCTCCTGGTGGTGGCAGCCAGCAGGCCGCATACAGCCCACAGGCCACATTTTGCCAACCCTTGCTTTACTTACTATAGATTAATCTACAGTCTAACTGCCAAGTATTTGTTTAGTGTGCCTAACTTTCTTTTGTTCCTCCTTAGGGAAAGGGTGAATATACAATGGAATATAGTAGATACCAGCCATGTTCACCTAGCACTCAGGAAGAGCTAATTAACAAACACCTAGAAGCAACAGGAAGACTTCCTGCAAAGAAGGGCAAGGCTAAGGGCTGACTTTCATCCTCTTGAACTTCACTGAACAATTTTTCACAATCTTCTAGTCAGGCTTTGAAATCGGACTTAGTTGGGACTTGTTCTTTATTAAAACTGCCTTCATTCACAATGTACTCAGAAATTATCAGGAGGTCACTACTAAAATGGTCATGTACAAATTCCATTCATTAGCAAAAAATCGTAATATAATAATCATAATTTGTTGTTGAAGTTCTTGTTTTAAGCCATTTGTTTTAAAATGATGAAGTAGTTTTATTTTTTACTTGAGAAAATACTGGGATCTGATTAAAGACATTATTGCCCCTTAATTTTTAGAGGTGTCCAATATGCCGATTTGAGTGACTAAATTCATGTAGCCACTAGTTTGTAAATGAGTTGTCATCCAACACAATGAATATTTACCCTCTAAAATCTGCTCCTGAACAGATCCCTTTGCTCCTACAACTTGTTCAGTGACAGTACCCATTTAGGAAGTGAACATAAATATTAATTTCTTTCTGGTTCTAAAACTGAATTATAGGTTCTTCCAGACGTCTGTCAATACAACTTGCTACTCACCTGCTCTGCTCACAACAGATGATCCCCCTATAACAAATATGGAAAGAGTTTACTGGGCACAGCTACATGTGATGCCGCTGCTACATCGCTGTAGCAATGCATTCCCTTGGTATTGTGCGATGCTACAGCAATGTAGCAGCTAAAAATAACTGCATCATGTACAGTGCAGTATGGGCTGTTACTGTGCTGTCATTTAGCACTCCCAAGAGGAAGTAACAAAGGCGCTGTAGGGACATATGTAGATGCGCCCGCTGAGAACTTAGTTTTACAAACCTTTCATTAAACTAGAGGTCTTCGTAAGCTACAATTTTATATGGATTTAGCTGCTGTTTCATTTGTGTGCTCATCAGTAGGTTCTTCACATTCCCAGTTGGATCCCTTTGGACACCAAAGACAAAAAACAAATTTTTGGCTGAATCTTTCCAAAAATCTTGCATTCAAGTAGGTAGGTCATTCTGTCACTGAAACAGATCAACAGTTCCCTTGAGGGCACTACAAACAGTGAGAGGCAAGCTGCTACAGTTAGTTGAGGAGGTAAGGATATTGTTGCTTTTTAAAAAAATTTTGCTACGTTGTCAAAAGAATTTGATTTTTACCTGTGCTAACTCTCCCATGACCACTGCAGTTTCTACTGTGCGCGCCATAGCAGTAATAGACAGTGGGGTTAGAGTTTGAGATCAAAACCACTGAAGCATTTTAGGACTCTGTTCCTGCAACTGGATTTTGGGAGATGTTCACCAGCCCTAGAACAGAACTGTAATATCATCTACTTTGTCACTGCATTAAGCAAAAGTAGTGAAGAGGTTTATAATAGATCATTTTTGCTTTTTAAACAATTTCAGGCATATGCCAGGTACATTCAGACACAAATTAGATGTGTGCCATTTAAGACAAAAGTTTGTTTCCCTTCTCATTTTATAATGCCTTGTGAATAATATCAGCTGAATTTGGCTTTTATGAGTGCCCTGCAGTCTTTATTCCAATTGAAAAATGTTCTATAGCACTTTGCTGTAAAAAAAGCAGCAATACAAAAGTGATGTTAAACTTTTGAAGAGATACAGCATTATTTTTTTCATTATATTCATGGTTCTAATTAGTCTACTTCTTGAAGGATTGCTTTAATTAACAAGTATGTATTGGAAACAGATGTATTGCTTTCAAAGTCCCAAAGGTTTTAATGAAATCATGTGAAGAATCGCTTCCATTACAGGACTGATGGGGAATACAGTAGCTCCTATCTTTGTGGTCACTGAACGGACTGAAAAGAGTTTTTCAGTGGAAGCAGCCTTCAAACAATAGTGTGACAGAACTGGAAGCCTACTTCTACTCTCATACTATTATTAATATGACTAACACCATGTAAATATGAGGTATGCCATTACAAGCCAGCATGAAATATTTATCAGGCTTGTCACAATTTCAGGTTCTTTGACTGGGGCAGGTTTCTTCAGAGGATGTTTTGCGAAGGAGCTGTAACTTGGTAACATACTCTTGTGTAAAGAGTTTGGGTAACTGTGTTCCTTTAGTGTCTCTGTTTTTCCCTTGGGTAACTGTTGTCTTGTTTGCAATTACAGAAGTTTCCATCTGTCACCAATAACCTTTTTTTAATGGAAAAAGTAGCAGTGCTCCCTTATCTCCAGTAGCTAAATGGTCAGATGGCATTCAGTGGACAAATTAGGGCTCACCGTATGTTCATGTGACAGCTCATCAAATAGAAGAATTGCTTTGGTCTTTTCTAACAAAGTGACAAGCTTTGAAAATTGTTGAAATATCTTATTTATTGTGACAGACATTAATTTAATGTATAAAATGCCCTCATATCTCAACCCATGGCTTAATGAATCTGAGATGAAAAGATTTGACTGAAATTATTTAGTCCCATAATTTAAACCATAATGTCTCTCCCACTAAAAGAGGTTCCTTTAACCTGGTATTAGTTTAAAATGGTTCCTTGGTTTTCAGACAATTCCAAATAAATGGGCCTAGACTTAGAGAAGGATGGTAGGGGGCAACACATTTGCCCTAAATCTAGAACGCTACCATCTTGCAAAAAGACTTCAACACGCTTAGGATGGGACACAGACAAAGCAATTGATAAGGATGTCTGGCATGAAGCTGTTTGATTGGGCACTCTGAAAACAATTTTTTTTTTCTTTCCTGATGCAGGAGAAGCCTCTGTACAAAGCCCCAAGGCCGTGGCTGTTCTGTCCACCTTTAAGGAAATGACAGGAACTCTGTGCATATTGTAAATAAAAACACACTAAGGTCTCTTTGTAGTCTGTGTTATTTTTAATTCTTCTCTTGCAACAAGTTGTTTCAGGCTGTCCTGAAAGGAAAGTTTTCTTCATTTTCAGAGTTGTCTTCATAAACCAGGACAGCTAGAAACAGAGAAAGGAGTGTTGTATAAGGGAGCACAACTTGGTTTCATAGAATGTTTTCTGCAGTGAAAAATCTGTGGGAAATGCTGGTTTCCACTTCTTGGCACATGTTTTTCTATTTGTGGGACATTTCTCTCTGCTGTCACTAATCTTTCTAGAAAATCTGTCTGCTGTATCTAATGGCTTTGGATTTGGAATCAGTGTCACGGGTTGAAAGTTGCTAGATACAAGGAATGTCATGCAAAAATAAAACCCAAATTCCACCATGTGTAATGGTATTTATTTTACTGCAGATATAAGTTAAAATTAGCATATAATATTCCTGTTCAAAAAATCAAAATTATTTAGTAGACAAATAAATGTTACTGAAATGGAAGATTAATACTTTTATCAAGACTTTTATCCAAATATATTAACTTTGTTCACATACTGTGTCACTCTATGTAACTAACTTAGTGACATAAAATCAGCTTATGTAATACATTTTTTGTAATACAAGTTTTAGGTAGGTACGTATCTAGAATGTGTGAGTTGTTGCATTTCAAGAAATTATACAGAGATTTGTTTTGGGTCAAAGTTTGACTATTCAGTAAAAGGAATCACTTTCATCGCAATATTATTTGTGCAGAAGAGTTATCAGAAAACTGACTGGAGCTATTAATACAAGGGTTTCTTTCATTTGAAATCTTTATATAAACTGGCATTGATCTTTTTTTAAAAATTTGCTTCTCTTTCATTTAATATTCCATCAGCTGATCCAGATTCCATACCAGATACATCTTCAGATTCTGCTGACTGATTCTCAGAAGAGCAGAAGTACTTCACTTTCAAAGGATGATTGGGAATCCAAATGACACGCATGTGGCATAAAATCATTTCCTGGGAAGTAGACAAAGAAAGATTACCTTTGTGTTTCTTCCTTGTTGCTATAAAGCAGTTTTAGACTATATATGTTTCTTACCTGGGTTGGTATTTCGTGAAGTAGGACAGCATAGTCAAAGTCAATCGAATCATCTTTACTTATCTGCGCACACACAAAGAAACTACAATGAAGAGGATCAGTCACAATTACCGTAATATTCAGAAGTGACTGCTGGATGTTTGGTAATGTGTATCTATCTAAATAGTAGGATCGTAGGAAAATAAGGCAGAAAAGGATGTCATGAGGTCATCTAGTCCAGGCCTTTCTCAAGGCAGGATCATCCCTGACCAAACCAGCCAGCCAGGTTAGATGGTTGTCTAACCTGTTCTTGAAAATTTCCAGGGATGGAAATTCCACAACCTCTCTAGGGGCTGTTCCAGTGCTTCCTATGAATAATATGCCTTCAGAGTGAAAAGAATATAAACACTGCTACACAGCAGTATTTCTTTATACTAAAATTCCACTATTGAGTGCAATACCTGTAATGACTTCAGAAGAACTTTCTGTATCAGCTATAGGGCCAGATTTTCCATTGACTTGAGTTTGTCTCAAATACCTCTATGCATTCACCCACATATAAATATGGTCCATAGTAAATTCAGTCATACAAGGTGGAAATATAAAGCCTGTGACTACAGATTTTGTACTGTGACAACCTCCTCTGGACTCTTGAGGCTATCAACATCCTTCTTGAAGTACAGCGCACAAAAGTAGACGCAGTACTCCAACTGCGGTCTGACCAATGCCGCATAGAGGGGAAGTATCACTTTGGATTTTTTTACATGCATCTGCTAATGCATGATAAGGTGCAGTTAGCTTTGCTGATGATTTCTTCATGCTGATGACTCATTCATCTTGAAATCCACTATGACTTCGAGATCCCTTTCTGCTTCTGAGAGGGTCACTTCACAGCCAGTAGGTGTGCTGGATATTTTTGCGCCCTAGGTGCAGCACTCTGCACTTGTCCTTGTTGTACTGCATCCTGTTGTGTACTGCCTACTTTTCTAACCTGTCCAGGTCTGCCTGCAATTGTTCCCTACCCTCCAGAGTGTGTACTTCACCCCACAGTTTAGTATTGGACAGTGATACTATCAGATTTAGTATCCAAATCCGATGTGGATAGGAACTATGAACTGCTGATTGCTATTGTATCTTTTATTGTTTGTTACTTATTGCTAAATGTTGCCTTTGCCTCCCTAATGCAGATTTAATTTCAGCTTCGCTTACCCACTGTTTCACATGCTTGACTTGTGCCATGAAGTAACCCAAGTTCTCTGTTGACTTTTCCCACATTATGTAACTACTGCCAACAACAGCCAAGGCCCATGCTGACTCAAAGGCCGGTTCAATATTTCCATAGCTGTCTGAAAATAGAAGGGGAGTGGGGGAACATACACAGATGTAATAATTTGGCCTTCTCATAGACAAGCAGTAAACTGTAAAATGCTTTGGCCCTGCCACAGGGTATTCCTGGGAAGTAGCTGCTTCTTTGAACACTTTTGCAGTATTGACTGGGGAGGGTAATGAGCAAATGATAAATTAACTGTGGTTGCAAAAGTCCAGTTAGCATGTACTAACCCTAGTGAAACAGATTAGCAACTCTCATTTACCCACTGGACCCCCACCCAAACATTATGAAAGTGGTGAAGTGATACGATGACACACAGTTGATGAGTAGCCAAAAACACGTTACATAAAAATGTTGCTATACAGTCCCACATGAGATTCCTCTATCTGAAGGAACCTCAGTGGATTAAGACATTTGCTGCTAAGCTACAACTTCCCTAAACACAGCCAATGAATGTTTTTTTAAATGCAGAATTTTGCAAATATATATTTGCTTTGTAATCCTATAGACATCTTTGCTTCATTCTGTTCCCTTCCATCTTTGCTGCAAAACACAACACATTTTTCCAAGACTTTTCAGGAAATCCAGATTCTTTGGGGGAAGGGAAGGAAGGAAAAGGATTTTCTTTTTAAAGTTGTTATAGTCCAAATAAATATGTATTTAAAAAAAAATACATGTATGTTTGCTTGTGTTTTTAAAGTTACTAAACTGAACATAAAAGTAAATATAATTCCTAAATGAATATAGAAACATAAAAAATCCTAAAAGGAAGTTACCTGGAATATAGCTTCCAATTATTGGTTTGGTTTGTTGCCTTATTTTTTGGTAAAATCTCTGGTCATCTTCTTGGACTTCCTTCTGATCTTTGGTATATGTGCATTTTATATTAACAGTAGGTGTTGGTTTCCTCTTTAGGTAGAACACAATAGCAAGACAGGTCCCAACATTTTCCTTAAAAGACAAAAAGATCATGATATTTTATATACAGCAAAAGCCGTGTTATCTGGCACTTTACCAACCGGAAAGCGCCACTAACTAGCAGTTGTCACAAGGGACGTGGCAAAAGCAAAACCGGAAGTCCCACATCCAGTTTCGCTGCGCAAGCAGAGTTCTTCTTGTTCACTTCTTCCTTGTGGACCATGGCCCGGGGCAAAGCAGCCTGCGCGGTGCCTCCCTCCCTCTCCCCTGGCACACTGATGCCAGGGAGTGCACCAGACAGGGCATATTTGATTAACAAGCATTCCTCATTCCCGGGGGATGCCAAATAACAGCTTTTACTGTACATATATGCACTAGGTTAAAAACAAATTTTACATATACCCCAATTACATTTATCTTTGGAACATGGAATGTATAATCAGAATTCAGTAGATCTAGAAAGTCATTTATTTGCGTTAAAGCAAAAATCTGTGTATTTCTGGTTGCTTTTGCATGTCTTTAAGTAAACAGTATCTAAAACAAGTATACAGTTTCCTTTTGAGAAACTGGCAAAAATTAGCAGAGCTAGTCTTCTAGTAAAAGTGGAGCAGTCATACATGAGAAATACATACTGAGGAATACTTTGGAATAATCTCAGGACAGAAGCTTAGTTTATAAGGATGATCTTTTAAATGGATTTTCACTGCATAATAATATGGACTTTATAAAAAAAAATAGATGTAGAGATTCATTTTAAAACTTTGAAAATCATTTTATGTTGTGTAGAAACTGAATAAAATGGAAAATCAGGTGGATACGGTGATATCACAAGTTAGAAGTCCCCAGTAAAGCACATGTGCAGTATGGGTTATAATTTCAATAAATTTGTCAAGTAATTATTCAGATTTTGGAGTGTAGACACAACAGGGGATGCATTTGAATAATAAGGGTCATACTGTGCCATTCATTTTAAAATCAATGGGAAGTCTGACTTAAAAGCTTTATAGCATAATGTGACTCAGGGCTATGATTGCCATTTTCAGGCATTGAGCAAAGTAAACCCTCCACCGGGATCTACTTATAATAGCACTGAAGTAAGTCCCGTTTCAAGGATAAGTATACCATTTAATGTAGCAAAACTGTCTTGCATTACAAACTTACCCTAGTTTTGTAGTCCTCTGTGGTGAACTGCAGGTAGTACTTATGCCCAGTTCCTAGGACAGGCTGGAAGAGAAGTAAACAAGATCTTGAAAAAAAAATGGAAGCATGTTCTGTATTTTGTCCTGTGGCAGTCCTGCCGCATAGGTAGGTCAGTCCTGGAAACTGTTTACTGTTTTTTGCTAAACAGGTGATTCTGGTGGTAAGATGTTAGCTCACACCCACGCTTTCTCCTGTTTTCAAATTAATCACTTCAGTGCAGAACTAGGAAGGAGCTGTTGTATTGTGAAGCCTGGTGGTTGGGGCAGTTTATTTATGATTTAAATCAGCAG